AAAATCGTTCAACAAACGATTGGTACGTGTGATGGAAGTATCAATTGATCTTACAATGTCACCCGACGTCGAGCAACAAAATGGCAACTAAAAAAACACATTCAATTATTTTCCGTTTTACAGAGATTGCGGTAGGCAATCACCAGCTCGATTTCTTATTTCGATTGTGATTTCCGTCCATCACCGTGAATACACTAAAAATTGTAGAATGGAGTGGACTAGGCCATTCGATTGTTCAGAGGCACCAGGCCTTCTCGATGGTCTTGGGTGTGGGTTTTACCCCCTGTAAGATCGTTAATTCCCCACCAGTGTTACATGCATTTAAATGTGACGGAAATCTTTGTGATGATTGACAAAGAGCACCGGGACAGGTGTTTTGTCCCGTTTGAGACAGCAAAGTGCGTACTTTTGCGTGTCCCTGTCAGGACTCGAACCGCAAACATTCGGGTTGGGACTTCAAACCCATACCTCTGCGCTTTACGGTTAATGGGCATCACCTAATGCAAATGGCTCCATCAACTTGTAGGATCAAGTATGGATTACCCCACTCGGTTGTTCAGAGTCTCAAACAGGACAAAACAACTGCCCGGTGCTCGTTGTCGGTCATTATAAATATTTCCGTCGTATTTAAATTATAAAGTACTTTATGCACACGATGACTATTCTGATGTCAATGAGCTTTATTCTTTTAGTTTTAGCGATGGAGATCGTTGGTAAATAAGGAACGAGTTGACTGACGGGGGAGGGGAATAGAATTCTTTCCATTTTGGAATATGATGTGCAACCTAAACGAGTAAATCCTTGTTCCTGTGCAGTTTCATTTTTATCTTCTGTTCATCGATCATCTTCTACCTTCTGTGGAGTAGGTAGATTAACTGTTCCAAGGTTTTGTAAACGAGAAATTGTTAATAACTTTGCATGACGAATGCGCATTCCTCGCAGAATGAAAAAATCCAAATATTTTTAGGCACTGAAACCCAATGGGCTCGGTTTGTCGCACCTTGGTGAAAAATAAACAGAATTTGGATGTACAACAACCTTTTCAAACAAATCAACGCACGAAACCCCAGCCCAGGTTATCCGTGATACTATTACTCCACCATTTGGCTGTAATTGTCGACCTACTCCTTCACCTGTAACCTCGTTCTTATTGGTTTGGGAACGAATTAATAGAATGTATCCGTTCCAGTAGATCAATAGCATCACCGCGACCTCATCGACTGCATTCTTTCTTTCTCTCTCTAGGTCGGGAATCGTATAGTTCCTTTTTCGAACAACTGTTTATGTAATTCAATTTGTGGTATTAACAGTCACTTGGATGTTTGTCCATATCCGCATCAACTGACTAAGGCTCAATTGTGCTTATTAAGCTAGTATTGTGCCCAAATGCAGGGATTATGACTTTACTAGTCAGTGTTCTTCATCGATGGTGATGTATTAGTGGGAATCGCGAATCAGAAGTCACAACGCCAAGTGAACCACGGAATCATACAAAGAGTTGTCTGACGAGTTGTCGAGACGAGACGCTGGAAGAAAATGTAGTGAATCAACCCTCCTAAATGACGCCAGCCAAGCGTCTACGTGCTACAGTTTCCGAATATTGGGTCATGGATCAACAATATCGGTTAGTCAACAACCGTACGGTTCCAACAGAAGCCGAGGGACTCGAAGAACGAGAACGATGATTGGTTGATGTTCGTTTGATCAATGATATTTCTATTTGCATAGTATTTGATCCAATTGATTTCTTCCAATAACCGAACTGCTACTCTAATTACCTTTGTCCCCCGTCTCGGTGATGGGAGATTCCAGTGTAAAATTGCTAGTGCGATTCAGTGTTTCAGTTGCGTCTGTGATTCGCAATCTGTGCATGCTTCGAATAATACACTTAGCTCGTTTCATCAACCCAAACACCCACAGTTTGAGGTCATCACAAGCCCGTAATAGCATGTGCTCCCTGAAGGCATCGTTCTGATAAGAAGGGGATTCATGCTTGGTTAGGTGACTTGTAAATATCAATGTAATGGAAAACACATGATTACTGTTTAAGCGCGTACTATCGTGCACGAAACATCAAACTTCGACTGCGCGGCTTTGTATGTGAAGTAAAATTACACTTACATTGAAGTAGACCATCCACTTGCTGTTGGATATAGAATGAGGCTGCATTCGTACCCTCTTGGTCCATTCGATATTTCATTGATCGCAAGGTTCTCTGTAAAAATATAGACAATGACCATCCTTGTTTTCATTGGTTTGTGAGATTCTCAGAAATTGGTTTGCAATGGATGCAGGTTAACTGCTCATTTTGACTACTCATAAGTAGACAGTCCATATTTACAATTATTTTACTTTTCTGTGCTCGTATCGTCACGAGGTGCTGTTGAACCTAAAATGAAACCAAAGATGAATGGACTAAACAATGTATATAGAAAAATTTTGAGACACTTTATATTGTTCCATCTGTCATTTTGGGTAACAGCTAACGAAATCATATCGAGCAGATTGATCAGACCATTTTTATTTAGTCTATGCACGAAATAGCTCAACACGGTTCTGTCGGCATATTGTGGGTATCACAGTTTGTTCTTCATTCCAGCGTCAGCCTCCAGGGATTATGACTCGGCTGGGAATATTTCAACCTGACTACTACTGCCACTCAAATGGAATAAGTGGAGGATTTGATTTGATTATATGATGCATTTCGTCGTGTGCGGGAACCATAAAGCTGGGGAGCGCTATATACAGCCGCTTCGATCAGGTTCGGTTTCATCAGTAGTGCCGATCCACCGGTTGAAGTGAAGTATACTACACAGGTGACCACCGGAGAGCTGATCAGACCCTTTTTCATTCAGCCTGGTGGAAAACGAGCGGCTGAGATTGAATACTACAGAAACAACCAGTCCGTCAAGCCAATCGCACAGAACATCAGCGTCGTAAATTGCTCGCCTTCTGCTGCAGACTGGCCGACAAGCCGAAGGCGGAAATTCTTTTCGGGTTATTTACACAACCCTGAATGGACGGCTGCTAAGATTTGCAAAGGTCATATCAATCTAGCGCCGAAAGCTCCTGCGGTGTCAGCAAAAGGAGGTCAATATCTGTTTAGCATTGCCCTGGTAACCACGTAAGCGAAAGATTGAATTGGCACAATGTTAGATTATCAATACCTATGATATACAAACTATTTTGGATTCTGCGGTAAGCATAAATGAACTGATTTCGGAATCAAATCGTGCTCACTTACAGTGTGGTTTTTAAATTTAATTAAAGGGAAGTAATTGCTTCAAGACCCGTTTTAATTTGGTCTCTGTGGACCGAGTGTAAAATATGACGCATCAATACATCAAATTTCCGAATTGTGTTGTAGTGAAATTGTGCACTTAATAAATCTAGTAGAAAATGTGATGAAAGAGGTGAAAAAACTGGACGGCTTCCTATTCTGGTGCACTTTCACATCGACGGTGCTGCCAAACCAGACAGGTCTTTCAGTCTAGCCAAAAGCAGATTGGTTTGGTCTGGGGGGTTGACAAATTGTGAAATTCAGGAGAACCGGAATCACATAACTCATAGGCACTGGAGCACATTGTGAACTCAGTTAGGGAGCATCTCAGTGATTTCCATTCACGTTGGAAGCGCCGGACTCACACCAACCTTCACCTGCGCGAGGTCCCACGGAAAGAAAGCGACAGATTTTGAGAAGACCCAGATCGAGAGTTATCGCACACTCATAGCTGAAACGTAGCGGTCAAAGTGCGCTTAGATACCGAATAGGTCATCCGCCGAACAGACTAGTGAAAGAATGACGCTTTCCGGGGACTGAAATTCAGTAGTACCTATCTACTTCAGAGATAAGATATTGATTTTCGTTTGTGCTGGATTTTAGAAATGAAAAAAGGAAACATATTGACTTGAAGGAACAACGCCTGGAGCTTAGTGGTATTGTGGGGAGCGTCATCCGACAACTGCCTTAGTGCTCTAACTATACTTAAAACATTCAATATTCTTTGGAGTACAGACATTTGCAGGTCTGAGCAGGTTTCGGCTCCACCAAGTACTAGCAGATGACGAATCAGCCGCTATCATACCGGATGCCTAAGCGGTTGTTACAAAACATCAGGGGTGAATTTGACAAGAGAAATCCGGGGTCCTCAATCTCAAAATATATCATGACAACTGGATATATTGTTGACCCACATTTGTCGTTTAAGTCGTTATTACATAACATGAACCCAAGGCTCTTAGGCTTCAGCGAAGCGAAGTTAATCAGGTTACATAATCCAGTTTTATGTGCACAAAGGCTTCGGACGCAGTCAGTCATATTACCGTCGCATTGATTCTGATTTCCCCCCCTACCCTCGCTCCTTTGACTGTTGTTAGTTTAACCACCGTAGCTATCACAACTTTGTTGTATAAATATCAGATTGTTTTACATTGTAGAGACTGAGGAAATTCGAAGAAATGTTATTATCTCTTCTCTTTGCCTTCTAACGTATACTTTCATCGTGCAGTGTACATGTGTCAGCTATCAGGTCACTGATCAATCAATACTTAAGTGTATCCGCTCTTCATTACACTGAATGATTGACTTTTACGGCCTAAACACGGTTTTCCCGTCACAACTTTCAACAGAGGAGTCAGAAACAAATGGGTTTACACAATGTATCCATGGTCATTTCACTGAATCTGTACACGTGCATACTGCATTTAAAGTGTTTCTTTATAGTCATTGAGATAATAACTGAGAGTCGAAGACAAGATCGCTCTAATCACAACGAACAACACGACACAACAACACAGCAAACAAGAGAGGGTAGGGGTGAGTTATTATCTGAATGAGTATAAAATAGTCACTTTGACTGCAGTATGTTCACGCATATGCATATGCAGGGAAATGACCATGGATAAACCCGTTTCTGACTTCGCTATTTGCGGCCTAAATATGATACGGTAAGTACAGTGAGTACGATAAAGTGAGTGAGAACAATGAGGTCATTTTTTTGTCAAAAACGATAGCAATCCTCATGCGGAGAATAGAAATGATCTACCAATGTTTTATAATATTCACTATTTTTAGAGGAGCTGACCTTGAGGACATTTAATTGTTCCGCTTGACGACATAGTGCGGCTTCAAGCTCAGACTGATGTTCCATCAAACCAGCTCGTTCTTGTTGCCATCGGTCCGGCTATTGATTACAATGAAAAATACATAAGTAATTAAATAATTGCACGTGTAAAGCAGACAGAATATCAGTATAGCAGTAAGTTATTGAAATTCAAATCCATCCATAAGTTGGGGGTGAATTTCCCCTTTGGATGTTCATGAATCCCGATATGAATAACAACGAAACTTACCGTGTGCTCAGAAATCGGAGGATTGTGCGCAGGGATTTGTGATTCCAATCGTTCCAGAAGTTCTGCCTGATGATAAACCTGTTGCTTGAGTTCCTCACAGTGCTTTTCCAAACTGATTCGGTCCA